AAGAAGCAGATGAAAGACACCTTTCAGGCTGGAGTAGGGAGGCTGTAAGAGTGGTTTTAATACTTCAGTTGCTCCCCATTAGTAAATTATGAAGTTAATTTAATAAGTCATAGTCAGCATTTATTCATAATGAAAACAGAATATGTCAGAGTGATTCTCACATAGCAAGAGTAAACATTATTTGGTGCAACTTTTTTGGAAAATCATATAGTAGTGTAGATATGTGTATACTATTTGTCAATCCCTACAGGAACCTTCATTTCAGAGGACTGCTGAAGAGTCAGGTGGTTACATACTCCCATTGTGACACAGCAGAGATGGAGACTTGTGGGCCTGTGGTATTCCTCTTGCCAAAAAAAAAAAAAAAAAAAGTTGCCCTTGAGTCAATTCTAACTCATAGCCACCCTAAAGAACTGCCCCATAGGGTTTCCAAGAAGGGCCTGGTGGATTTCAACTGTCAGCCTTTTGGTTAGCAGCTAAGCTCTTAACCACTACGCCACCAGGGTTTCCTATTCCTCTCACAGGGATCCCTAAATTGATTCTTCTTTAAATGTACTAAAATATGAGCTTACTATACTCTAATTCTACCCATTGCTAAGTCTCCCCATCAGTAGCTTTTCCTTTATGGGAAATAGAAAAAACATTGTAAGTAAGAGGTGGCTAAATGGAGGCAGTGAGAGTAAATTAATTTTCTAGGAGCTTATCATAGAAAGTGAGGAAAGAGGCAGGGCAGGCAGTAGAGAGAGAAGCTTCCAGGATCAAGGCAGGGGACGTTTAGGATGGGAGAGTGTTGAACATATCAATATGCTTAAAGTGAAAGAGCTGATACAGAGTGACTGGCTGCAAACCTAAGAAAGGGGATAACAGATGAGGCAAATTCCTAGATGTGGCTGAAGAGAAGGGATGGGTTGGCCCTAAGGAGAGATGACAAACATCCATGGTGTAGCCATGGGTACAGGAAAATGAAGTGGAATGACGATCAAAGCCACTAAAATGGAAGAGGTCCAGAAAGTCTGAAGCTTCAACAATGATTGTGATCATCACCATCACCAAAGGCAGCACTCAGGATAAAGAAGGAGATTGAGAGTTAGACAACATTTTAAATAAATACAGGGCAGACGCTGGAAAAATCTTCATGCTTTCTACTAAACAAAACACAAATTCCTTATCTTTGTCTTCAGGTCTCTCCCCATTCTTACCCCCATTTGCCTGTTAAATATTCTTCTAATGCTGCACTCCAAAAGACTCCATATATATACCAGCTGCAGTTGTATCGATTTCAACTCACGGCAACCTCATGCGTGTCAGAGTAGCACTGTGCTCCATAGGATTTTCAATGACTGATTTTTTGGAAGTAGATCACCAGGCCTTTCCTCTAAGGCACCTCTGGGTAGACTCAAACCTCCAACCTTTCAATTAGCAGCTGAAGGCATTAACCATCTGCACCACCCAGGGACTCACTGACAGACTCTAGCTGTCAATATTCCCAGGAAATGCTCTTTCGTTTTCTGCCTTTATGTTATTTCCTCAACCTAGAACTTTCCTCCTACCTCTATCACACTCTAACTATCCATAAAATACTTACTCTTTATAATCCAAATCTAATTCTTTTTGGAAGTGGGATCTTAAATAAGCAAACAAATTGATCTTCCATGAAGAAACTCCTGTTCAAGAATAGATTTCTCCCTCCCCTGAACACCTGAAATTCTTAAGAACAGAGTCCACATCTTACTGATTTTCACATCACTACACAAAGCACTAAGTAGGTACTTAATGTTTGATGAATGAGTGCTTAGTGACACACTGTTTTATACACCTACTCTTCATTTATCGACTATCTCATGATCTGATATTTCATATTTACGACAATAGTAAAAAATCTACTATCTGACTATTTTGCACATTAATAACATACGTCTGGCAATAACGAATGCCAAGGTGCAAGGCAAGAGTGATGCTAGCTGTGATGGTTAAGGTTATACGTCACCTTGGCTGGGCCATGATTCTCAGTGGTTTGGCACATACGTATTGATGTAATTTGGCAGTTATATAATGATGTAATTTGGCGTTTATGTAATGATGTAGTCATCCTCCATTTTGTGATCTGATGTGGTCATCCTCCATTTTTGCGTAATGCCAATTTTTGCATAACAACCTGGTCTCTGGAACCTAACCATGTCGCAGATAAGGAGTAGGTGTATAACAGTTTGGAGTCGTATATCTTTCCTGTAAGTTAAAACCTCCCTGAGGGCAGACATCAGGTCTTCATTTTGCATTTTCATAGCATCTAGCAAAATATCTTAGCACTAAGTACCCAAATATTTAAGTTAATTTGTTAAGGTAATAACTGCTAATCACGTTAATATGTTGATTGACAAAATCTAATATACTAAATTGTAAACTTGTTTCTCTCAAAAAAGAAAATGTTGATGTGTTTGTGTCTCCTGTCTTGACTTACAGGCTTTCCTTACTCCTGTGGGAGAACGGGTAACATAACCATTATTCCAAGTTACCCTTGAACCCAATAAAGAGAACTACAGTCACTATGGTTATACTAATTTACCTTGTCAACAAGACCATCAATTAGTCACAATTTTGGCAGTGATAGCCCTCATAAAATACATTAGTGTCTTTGCTCATTACTCAAGATGGAAAATTAGAGAAAAGATCACATGTTGTTTTATTGCATCAGTGAAAGTAACTAAGGTACTGTGAGGTTTGAAAGCTGGACAGTCTTGCAAAGTATCTCATATGAATGATTCAATAATGCCCAGTGACTCCCCACATCCAACCTGCCTGGAACAGCCCAGTCGTCTGCCAATTAGTGACAGACATGGTCTCCCTGGATGTAGTTTCCTACACCACATCCTCTCAAGTATGGTAACTTTGCTTTAGTTTCTCCTCCACCGTCTGGCCCAATTTCAACTATGTGTCACCACTCACATCTAAGTTAATGCCACATCAGGAAGCATTTCTTTGCATTTAAACATACTGTCTGTTATTGGATGCCTTTGAGTCGAATTTGACGCACAGTGACCCCATGTGTCAGAGTAAAACTACCCCACAGGGTTTTCTTGGCTGTAATTTTTATGGAAACAGATAGCCAGGTCTTTCTCAAGAGAAGCTGCTGGGTTGGTTCGAATCACCAACCTTTCGATTAGCTGGCGAGTGCTTTTACTATCTCTTAATACCTCCTTTTTCCATCTCTTTTCCCATTCATCATTTAATCTAAGTAAAAGCACCTCTTGGTTTCTTTAAACAGAAGTGCTGACTAATGTGCTAGATCTGAGACCAGTGGCTCCGTGGTTAGGGGTTCAGCTGCTAGCCGAAAGATCCGCAGTTCAGACCCACTGGCCGTTCTGTGGAAGAAAGATGTGGTAGTCTGCTTCCATAAAGATTACAGCCTTGGGAACCCTATAGGGCAGTTCTACTTTGTCCTACAAGGTCGCTATGAGTCGGAATTGACTCTAAGGCAATGGGTTTTAAAGTGGTCTAGATGCTAGACGTTAATTTCTAAGAAAAGTGATGCACGTATATCAAGGAAAAGAAAACCAAACGTTTCATAACCAATAGACTTTTGAAACTGCCGAGATGTCTTTTTAAATGCTATGGCAATGAGCTTAAACCTACTTTTCCTCAGTTATCACCAATCAACATCAAACAACATTTCCTTTTTCTTTTACTGTTTGTTTTCTTCTGTACCAGCATGGCAACATTGATTTGTTTGGCCTCTCACTGAACAATACCTCACATTAACTGTATAGTAGTTCAGCTTCATTATAGATGAAGTTGGCTGTTCTGGGCTAATCTAAACTCTAACTATAAACCTCTACATTCTAAAATCCAAACTGATTTAAAAACTAACAGAAATAATTCATAGACATATTCCAAGCTTTTGGCTTAAAGGTTCAAGACAATACTCTACCTTGGTTTTTAAAACACCTAAAGAAATTCTAATTAAGGCCTGACATATTTTAGTTAAGTGGCTGGTATGTGCAGCACAAGCATAATTCACACTGCACAGCCAGTGCTGGGTTCATGACTGGGCGGTTTCATTTTGTTTGTGAGGTTTTTGCACAAGGAACTTTAAAACAGTGACTTTTCTCTGTTCTGTAACACGAGTTGCACATGTCTTATTTTCCAACAGGAGAAGGCAATGTTTGAATTTTTTATTAATTTCATAAGGTTTTATTTAGTGAGAAGAGCCTGCATACCACAGCCCAAGGTTTGCCCTAAATCGTCTCTAGACTAAGACTTACAATATTTTATTTTAAACAACAGCCTTATAACATCTTCTAAATAACTAAAATTTTAAGTCAATAAAAGGCAAATGAAAGTAAACAGCATAAATGCTATTTGCACAAAATGTAACCATCACAAAATTATGATTCAATATTCTAGACTCAACATTAAAAATCAAAAGTTTCTAGACTGAGCCTGAAGAAGCCTTAATTCTAGCCAATGGCTAGGAATGTCAGGGTTGAAAAAGCCCAGAGGGACCCCATAGCACTGGAGTTTTTAAACTCTCATAAGTCAGCTAATTGAGAGTTAGATTCAGAACCTTGTGCAGGAATATTCTCTAAAAGGCTCATATTTTCATCATAATGTCAAAAATCGGTGAATTAAAACTTTTTCAACTTGGAGGGGCGGAGTAGGTGACCCTTCTGCGTTTGGAAACACTGCCCCTTTGGGGCTCAGTTCTTTCTTTTCAGACGCAGAGAGAAGCCATGCATAACGTTTATCCAGAGAAAGAATCCAGAGGCGGGAAACAAAGCGGGAGGAGGCAGGTAGCTGAAGGATCTCTTGGGGTTGCTCTGTTTTCCCTCGTTGGGAAGGAGGAGACCTCGGCTTAGGGACGCGGTAGTCCTGCGGGGCGGAGGAGGAGCCCAGGGAGCGTGAGGACGCGCGGAGGAGGGGGAAGTTGCCGGGCGCGGGAGAGGGAGGGGAGCGGAGAAGAGCGCGGGCCCGGAACAGGCAGGCGCCCGGACCCTGGCACTCACCCGCCGGGCGCTCGGGCAGGATAGGCCGCCACCTCAGGGCCCGCTCGGTCAGCACTACGTCGCAGCTGCCTCTCCCGATCTCAAAAATGCCCCGAAGCAGCATCTGCTCGGCTGTCGCCTCCGGCTGCTGCGCGGACGGGAGCAGCGCCAAGGGCACCGCGGCCGCCGCCGGGGGCGCCTCTTCCTCCGGGCCGCCCTCCAGAGCTCTCACCCGGCTGCCGCGCCGTCCCCGGAGCATGGCACAGGCGCAAGCTGAGCCTGTGCCAGGGGTCCTGGGGAGGCCCTTGCAGGAGGAGGTGGAAGCCGCGGCAGTCACCGTTCCGGCTGCGTCCGGCGCTGCCATAGCAACGGCGCGCCCGGCAGAAACCAAGGAGGGAGGCGGGGCGGGCAGGCGGGGCCGCCCTGACCTAGTCTTGCTCCTGGGCCCGCGAACCTCGTGTCTGCCACTTACTACAAAAAGACCCTAGACCTGGAGGAGGAATAAGTCGCTCCCTCCACCTAGTGCCTACTGTTCATAGGGGATTTAACGCATTGCATAAACCAGTGCCTCTAAAACTTTAACCTGCACAAGCATCAGATTTTTATTTAATAGATCGGAGATGGGGCCCAAAATACTCCATTTCTAAAAAGCTGTCAGGTGACGCCATTGCGTCTGGTCCTTAGAACACACTATGCAAGGGCATAAGTCTCTGTTTTTCCACCTCCTTTCCGGCTTTCGCTCCTGACGAGCAAAGGTCCTGCTTTGTAAACCTTGCTTGCATGCCCTCAACAGCTGACCATTACGCAACTGGGATGAAGTGGGAACTCAATTACCAACAACCCAAGGGGAAGCCCCTGTTTTGTATAAACCCACTGCAGTGGAGTGGACTCATAGCGACCCTATAAGACAGAGTGGAACTGCCCCATAGGGTTTCCAAGGCTGTAAATCTTTATGGAAGCAGACTGCCAGGCCTTTCTCCCGCAGAGCGGCTGGTGGGTTCCAACAGCCAATTTTTTGGTTAGCAGCTTAGCGTTTAACCACTGTGCCACCAGGGCCCACTCCTGCTTTGTATAAATTTAAAAAAAAAAAAATCTTGCAGTCGAGTTGATTCCAACTCATAGCGACCCTATAGGACAGAGTAGAACTGTCACATAGGGTTTTCAAGGAGCAGCTGGTGGACTTGAACTGCAACCTTTTGGATCTGATAAATTTAGGTTGTAAGTATTTGGGGCCTACCTTCCCCCAAAATGTCCCTAGGCGGTGCAAACAGCTGACAGGCTTGGTTGCTAATCAAAAGGTTGGAAGTTCAAGTACACCCAGCAGTGCCTTGGGAGAAAGGCCTGACAATCTAACTTTGGAAAGATCAGCCGTTGAAAACCCTACGGAGCACAGTTCTACTCTGACACACATGAGGTCGCCATGAGTCAGAATCCACTCCATGGCAACTGGTTCCCCAAGATATCTCCTCTGCAGTCTTGTCTTTACCCAGATCCAGCATGCCCTTGGGAGAGATTACAAGCTGCAGGGTTTGTTCTCCAGAAGATTACTACTGTAATGTAGTGTAACCTGGAAATTGAAGCGTGTCCTGGGGGGGTTACCGTTAGATTTCTCCAGGTAGCTGGATTCAGGAAATTACCTATTTGTCCATTTGGAAAGCACAGGGTCTCTAGGCCAGTAATTCTCACAGTGGCTACACATTAGCATTACCTGGGGGAGCTGTTAAAAATTCCAATGCCCGGGACACACTTAACCCTTTGCGGACCAGTGGATTCTGACCCATAGGAACCCTATAGGACAGAGTAGAACATCTTTCTCCAGCAGAGTGGCTGGTGGGTTCGAACCACTGATCTTTCTTTTAGCAAGCCTACCACTTAACATTGCACCACCAGGGCTCCTTTGGGCCACACTGAAAGACTGTTGAATCAGAGTCTCTGGGGGTGGGACCCAGACATCAGGATTTTTTTTAAAGCTCCCCATGGGATTCCAATGTTCATCCAAGGCTGAGAATGGCTGTGTAACGGCTGTCTAAGCAGTGTAATGACACAGGAAGCTGATGATTTGTGGTGGGGAGCAGACAGACAGGGAGCAAGGGAGTCCCTTGGAACAGGAGCAGAGTGGGAGGTAAAGCAGGAGGCTGGAGGGTCATTAGAATTAAACTGAGAAAAAGTTAGGGGTGGGAGAGTTAAAAATGAAATTAAATTTATGCAGTTGCGAATCTAGTTAGTTGTGGTGTGCCAGTACCCAAATAATCCCATCAGGTAGGTAGCCCTGTCCATTCTGTCCTCATCCCTGTTCACACTGCAAAGTCACACTGCAGGACTTTCTCAAAACACTCTACCCAGACTTGGATTTCAAAAAAAATCAGGGAGAGAGGCTGTGTTTGTAGGCCTTTTGAACATAAAGTGCCAGTGTGCCTGTTAAGCTAAGACTCTTACTGTTTAATGCTCCGAAAACAAATACCCAAGCTTCCAGGCAGAGCGGGGAAGAGCCTCAGTTTGATCTGATTGCACCGAGCTGTTTCTTGGAGCAGAAGTGCAGCTGCTGCTAAGCCCCACGCAGGCAGGCTTCTGGTGTCTCAGCTCAGCAGTCATTAGTGGGGAAGAGCTGGTGCCCTCCCCAGAACAAGTTGCAGTTCTGGAGTCACCATCTTGTATTCACAGCTGTCAGGCAATCAACACAATTAGAGCTTGTAGGCATTTTAAAAGCTCACTGACAGCTAGGGCAAATAGGCTGAGTCAGTGGCTACTTTCTCAGACCTTTCAGAAGGGGGCGAGTTGTCTTTTTTTTTTTTTCCAAGATTCAGTCAGGCCAGATAGTCAAAGACATGGGCTTCGCTTTGTCTTTGAAGGCTTGGCAATTGCTGGAGAGTGGAAGTAATAGGGGCTGTATTGTGTTCTTTCCCTTTGCTTAGCTGTCTTTATCCAGAGTTCTAAAGGTTGCAGTGCCCCAGGACTCTGTAATCAGGATCAATCTACACAAGCATCCGCCCATGGCTTTAAATACTATACAAAAAACCAAAAACCAAACCTGTTGCTGTCAAGTCCGTTCCAAGTCATGGCAACCCTATAGAACAGAGTAGAACTGCCTCATAGGGTTTCCAAGGATCGGCTGGTGGATTTGAACTAACGACCTTTTGGTTAGCAGCTGAGCTCTTAACCACTGTGCCACCAGGGCTCTCAAATTTATGTCTCAAGCCCCAGTGGCTCCTCTGAACTTCAGATTTGTATGTCCAACTGCCTACATGGCATCTCTACTTGGCTGTCCAGTAAGCATCACAAAAGTAGCATGTCTAAGACCAAACTTTGATCTTTCCATCACAAACCTGTTCCTCCAGAATGTTCCAAATTTCAGCAAAGAATGTCAGCAAAATCCTTGACGTCATCCTTGTCTCCTCACTTTGTCTCATACCTCACATTCAGTCTACCAGCAAATCCTGTCAATCCCACCTGCTGAATATACTCCGAGTCCAACTTTGTCTCACTTTCAGCCTGCTCTCTTCCTAGTCTATGCCCCTGTACCTCTCACCTGGACTACTTCAATAGCTTCTCAACCCATATCCTTGCTTGAAATGGCCTTTTCCTTGAACTGCCTTCTCCAGCCCAGAGTCTATTCTCCACCTGGCAGTCATATTGTTCCTTTAAAAAGTAACAAGATCATAAAGATTCTATAGAAGAATCCTGACCGAAAGGGGGAGAATGTAGACAGAATTTTAAATTACCGTTGAATCCAGACTTTCTGGAGTCATTGAGGCTAGATAAACCTCCAAAACTATTGTTCCAAAATAATCTTTAAACCTTAAACCAAAAATATCCCCTAAAGTCTTGTTTAAACCAATTAATAGTTTAGCTTAATTAGTAAAGAATGTCTGCCTTGAACATTGTGCTTTTCTAAAGAACTATTATTTGCAATCAAATTGACAACAGCAACTTGAAAATTGATAGAAAGCTTAAGGGGCAGTGAGTTTATGTTAATGAGGGAGGAACAGTGTTGAAAAGGTGGGTAAAAATGGTTGCACAGCTTGAAGAATGTAATCACTGTCACTGAATTGTACACATAGAAATTGTTGAATTGGAGAGTAGAGGAACCCCTGAGACTTATTGCCCTGAGATACCCTTTAAACTTGAACTGAAACCACTCCCAGAGGTCACGTTTCAGCTAAATAACAGATTGGCTCATAAAATAAACGATATCACCCATGAGTTCTGTGCTCCTTTAAAAAAATAATCATCTGCGTGAGATCAAATGGTCAACATTTACCTTAAAGCAAAGATGAGGTTGGTGGGGAGGGGGGACAGAGAAGCTAGATTAATGGAAATGGGACAATCAGAATAAAAATAATGATAATGTTAACACAATGTGGAAAATGTAACCAATGTCACTGAACAATATGTATAGAAATTGTTCAGTGAGAACCTAATTTGCTGTGTAGATTTTCACCAAAAATAAAATTGAATATTTGAAGAAAAAAAGAAATTATTGAATTGGTGTATGTTCTGCTGTGTATTTTTTCAACAACAAAAAAAATTATTTAAAAAAATAAATAACAAGATCATATCACTCCTTGCTCAAAACCTTCCAATGGCTTCCTATCACTCTTGGAATAAAATTCCTTAACAAGGTGGTTAAGTGCTCACCTGCTAACCAAAAGGTCGGCAGTTCAAATCCACCAGCTGATCCATGGGAGAAAGATGTGACAGTCAGTTTCTGTAAAGATTACAGCCTTGGAAACCCTATGGGGTGGTTCTACTCTGTCCTATATGGTTGCTATGGTCGGAACCAGCTCCATGGTAATAGAGTTTTTGGGTTTTAGCAAGGCTAGAAGACCTACGTAATCTGATCCTTGGCTACCTCTCTAATACTTTTCCTTTTGCTCACTCACAAGTCTTCTTACTTTTCCTCAAAAACCTGATAAAAATCCCTTCTCAGAGTATTTACTCTAGTTGTTCCTTCTGGCTAGAATGCTTTTCTTCCCAGCCTACCACATGGCTTACTCCTTCACTTCATTCTCGTTTCTGCTTAAAGATCATCTCTTCACAGAGGCCATTCCTGAACATCTTCCATAATTTATCATCCTGTAACCTAGTGTATAAGTTTCCTATTGCTGCTGTAACAAATTAACACAAATTTAGTGACATAAAGCAACACAAATTTATTATCTTATAGTTTTCAAGGTCAGAAATCTGAAATCAATTTTGTTGGATTAAAACCAATAAACCAACACAGCCCTGCATTCCTTCTGTATGTTTAAGGAGAAAATCTGTTTCTTTGCTTTTTCCAGCTTCTAGATGCCACCTACATTTCTTGGCTGATGGCCCCTTCCTCTATCTTCGAACCCAACAACATAATGTCTCCTC